ATATCATGGTTAAATGGTATATTCCTTTAGTTGAGTATCTACCAACCTTGCCTGTTGATTTTGCAAGTTCAGTTCTTCACCACACAGCCATGTTTCAGGTTCATTGAAGAGTATCTAACAGATACTGGCTTTATGATAACTTCCGTTATGTTTGCTTATGTGATTGAATACATCTTAAATGTCCAGGAACGATTTTTCTTTGATTTTTGTTTAATAGCCTTTATGATAGAGCAGATCAGTGAACACAGCAATTAACCTTATAAGTTGTTTTCTTTCTGGCCTTATTGTTGTCAGTTACCTAAAACTTCTAGTATCCATAGTTGATTGCCAAGGCTGTAGGTTTATATGTATCTTTATGCTATGTTTATACAGCATGGAGGCTGCTCTTCCATCACTGATGAAAATAGTGACGTGAATTTAGTGAGAAGAGGGCTGAGGCTGTAACTGGAGTGTACCTTAATTTATTTTTTATGGTTTTCAGAAGGTTGCATTTAGATGGCCTTCATGTTCTGCAGGGCTCGTAGGCATTACAGAGCAAACTTATTTTAGGGTTTACATATGCGGGGAGAGAGAGAAAATGTTCCTTTCCAGCTTAGCATTTTTCATAGAATCATAGAATAGTTAGGGTTAGAAGAGACCTCAGAAATCATCTAGTTCAAATCCTCCTGCCATGAGCCGGGTCACCTTCCGCTAGAGTAGGTTGCTCAAAGCCACATTCAACCTGGCCTTGAACACCTCCTGGGATGGGGCATCCACAGCTTCTCTGGACAAACTGTTCCAGTGCCTCATCATCTGCAGAGTGAAGAATTTCTTTCTTACATTTCATTGAAATCTCCCCTCTTTCAGTTTAAAGCCATTACCCCTTGTCCTATCACTACACGCCCTTGTAAAAAGTCCCTCTCCAGCTTTCCTGTAGGCCCCTTCAAGTACTGGAAGGCTGCTAGAACCCCAACTCTCTCAGCCTGTCTTCATAGGACAGGTTCTTCAGCCCTCAGATCATCTTTGTGGCCCTCCTCTGGACCCACTCCAGCAGCTCCATGTCCTTCTTGTGTTGGGGACTCCAGAGCTGAATGCAGTACTGCAGGTGGGGTCTCACAAGAGCAGAGTAGAGGGGCGGAATCACCTCCCTCGACCTGCTGCCCACGCTGCTTTGGATGCAGCCCAGGATACGGTTGGCTTTCTGGGCTGCCAGTGCACATTGCTGGCTCATGTTGAGCTTCTCATCCACCAGCACTCCTAAGTCCTTTTCCTCAGGGCTGCTCTCAATCCATTATTTATGGACAGCTTTTTTTCAAACCTTCTGAATTGGAAGTGTCTTGGAGTCCCACTGAATCCAGCAGGGTTTATCATAGAATCATAGAATGGCATAGGCTGGAAGGGACCTCAGAGATCATCTAATCCAACCTCCCTGTCATGGGCAGGGACACCTCTCAACTAGATCAAGCTACTCAAGGCTCCGTCCAGCCTGGCCTTGAACACCTCCAGAGCAGGGGCATCCACCACTTCTCTGGGCAATTTATTCCAAAGTCTTACCACCCTCGTACTGAAGAATTTCTTCCTAAGGTCTGATCTAAATCTATTCTCCTCCAATTTAAATCCATTTCCCCTTGTCCTATCAGTGGACACTCTTGTAAAAAGTCCCTCCTCAGCCTTCCTGTAGATTCCCTTCAGGTATTGGAAGGCAGCTATTAGGTCCCCCTGAAGTCTTCTCTTTTCAAAGCTGAACAATCCCAGCTCCCGCAACCTGTCCTCGTAGCAGAGGTGCTCCAGCCCCTGGATCATCACAGAGATGATCTGACAACAGCCCTCCTCTGAACACACTCCAAGAAATCTATGTCTCTCTTATGGTGGGGACACCAGAACTGGACACAGTATTCGAGGTGAGGTCTCACAAGAGCAGAGTAAAGGAGGAGAATCAGCTCTCTTGACCTGCTGACCACGCTTCTCTTGATACATCCCAGGATGTGGTTGGCCCTCTGGGCCGCATGAGCACACTGCCGGCTCATGTTGAGCTTCTCGTCTATAAACACCCTGAAATCCTTCTCTTCAGGGCTACTCTCAACCCACTCTCTGCCCAGTTTGTATTTGTACCTAGGATTGGCCCCACCCAGGTGAAGGACCTTGCATTTTGACTTGTTGAAGCTCATGCAGTTAGCACTGGCCCAATTTTCAAGCCTATCAAGGTCCCTCTGGATGGCATCTCTTCCCTCAAGTGAGTCCACGGCACCACACAGCTTGGTGTCATCGGCAAACTTATTGAGGCGTCATCCATGCCGCTGACAAAGATGTTGAACAGCACTGGACCCAGAACAGACCCCTGAAGGACACCGCTTGACACTGGTCTCCATGTAGACCGCACCATTGACCGCAACTCTTTGAGTGTGACCATCCAGCGAGTTCTTTATCCACCGAGTGGTCCATCTGTCAAATCCGTGTATCACCATTTTAGAGACAAGGATGTCATGTGGGACAGTGTCAAATGCCTTGCACAAGTCCAGGAAAATAACATCCGTTGCTTTACCCATGTCAACCAGCGCTGTAGCTTTGTCATAGAAGGCCACTAAATTAGTCAGGCATGACTTGCCCCTAGTGAAGCCATGTTGGCTGTCACCAACCACTTGGTTATTTTTTATGTGCCTTAGTACAGCTCCCAGGAGAATCTGTTCCATGATTTTACCTGGCACAGAGGTAAGGCTGACTGGTCTGTAGTTTCCTGGGTTGTCCTTGGTCCCTTTTTTAAAGATGGGGGTTACGTTTGCCCTTTTCCAGTCTGTAGGAACCTCACCAGACTGCCAGGACCTCTCAAATATGATGGCTAGTGGCCTAGCAACTTCAGCCGCCAGTTCCTTCAGGACCCGTGGATGTATCTCATCAGGTCCCATGGACTTGTGCACCTTCAGGTTCTCTAGGTGTTCCCAGACCTGATCTGGGTGATCCCAGCCTACCCTGGGTGGTTCTTCACTCTCCCAGACCCAGCCAGCATCCTCTGTGATTTGGGTGGTTGCCAGTGAAGACTGAGGCAAAAAAGTTGTTGAAAATTTCAGCCTTCTCCATGTCCTCAGCAACCAGGTCACCCATATCTTTCCGGAGGGGCCCCACATTCTCTCTCGTTTTTTTTTTCTCTCACAGTTTGTAGGCATTAAGTTCTCATAGGATTGGGTTTCCATTTGTTATGTGAATACGGTGTAGCACAAGTGCAAATTTACTTCTGTAAAGATGATTTTAGAATTGGTATTTACCTACTGTATAGGTGGGGCATGAGTGCCTCAGGTAACTGTGAGTTGAATGAGACAACTGAGTGGAGGGAATTAGTGTGGCAGGAGGTAGACTATTGTTTAGAGTTAACTGCTTGCAAATCCTGACCCTGACTGCTGATTCTTGAAAATAAGCTAAAGGTAATAAACTGCTGATGCTGAAGAGTGTCTGGAGTCTAACAGCAAAATATTTGAGCAGCATCAGAAGTAATATTAATGGTTTAAAAAGAAAGAGAGAGGAGTTTCTCTTTTACACAGCACTGCTTTTGGGGAGAAGCTAATTAAAGAGAACCAATGTGCTCCTACTCTGCGCATATCATGAAGCAAGCCCTGAAAGTGCTGTGTGCTATTTGCTCCAATCTGGGAAACTCCGTTTTGATGATACCCTGGCTAACTGCCTGAAAGAGAGAGAGAAATCTCTTTCATAACTCTGTGGTAAGAAGAGGATGGAAGACGAAGATCGGGTTAGTGTATTCTCTTTAATCTCCTCATCACATAGACCTGGGAGTAACCAGCCAGAGGCTGAAGCTGTCAATAGCTACAAGCACTTTAAACAATGACTACTGGTTTTCTCTTTCTGTCATATTTTTTTTCCTTTTCTTTTTTCTGTTCTTGTTCCAAGACTCTCCCTCTCTGTGCCTGACCCTGTCTTTCCAAACCCTGTGTCCTGGTTTTAGCTGGGACAGAGTTAGCTCTTCTTTTTAACAGCTAGAAGAGGTCCATGTTTTGGTTTTACTCAGAGGCTCGCTCTGAGAAGAATGTTGATAGCAAGTTGATGTTTGTGGTTGGGCATGAGACTCCAAGGATTTTTCAGTGTGCTGGAGTGCAGAAGCACGGCGGGATAAGGGGGGAGAATAGCCGGGACAAGGGGGCCACGATTCCCCTTGTGATTTGTGGTGGAACTTAAGATTGAGGGCCAAACTGGCCAATTAGTATTCCATATCATGCAGCGTCATGCCCAGTATAAAAGTGAGGGGCAGCCGGAAAGAAGGGCTTTTGCGCTTTGGCTCTTTCGCCGCTTTTGCTCCTTTGCGCTTGCTGCGCTTTTGCTCTATTGCCTTTTTTTTCCTCTCTCTCCCAGCACTCCCACTCTCAGAGCACTATCTCTCTCTGCCCCTCTCTATTTCGGGGCCTCGCGTTCATCCGAGATTGCAGCTTCGGGACGAGACGGGCTGCAGATAAGAGGGGGTGGTGAGCATCTACACTGTGTATTACTCATCTGTATTAAATTGTTCTTATCTCAACCCATGGGTTTCCCGTTTCTCCTTTAATTCTCTGCCTCGTTCCTGGGGGTGCAGGAGGGTGAGTGACCGGCTGTGTGGGTTCGGTTGCTGGAGTGGCCTAACCCACGACACCCTGTCTTACCAAAACAGCAGCCTGGGAATTCAGATAACAGCACATAGATTCACAAGCCTGTACAGAGAAGTTGTGGTACTCGCAAAATTACTCAACCTGTTTTCATGCTGTTTGCACATTATTGCCCCGTTTGTCTGCTGCGTATGTGTTACACATCTCCATCCAGAAGCAGGAATAATGGAGATCAGCTCTCAACTGATTCCTAATGACAATGGTTGAAACAATTAGTATGCTTTATTAACCTTGGGCATATGATAAAGATCACGCAGTTGTGTTACAGTCCATGCATTTTATTTGTATTTTGTCTCATTTTCAAAAAGCAAATTAACCTGTAGGTTTTCATGAAAATGTAATACATTGTAATGATTTAGACATTGCTTCCCTTCTCAGTGCTCAACCCAAGAGTTCTTCTTGATTGTCAGCACCCTGTCACGTCTGGACTTGGAAATTCAAGCTCTTGTTCCAGTCATACATTCTCATGTGAAAACTCCTCTGTTAAAGAATACACTGTTGGAAATCCCAGAACTTCTCTCCGCAGTAAAACATTATTTAAAGATCCTTAATGAAGAAGCAGCCAAGTAAGTAGAGAAAATAGATTAATCTTCTGTGCCTCATAGGCTTTCTGACTAAATGTGTTAAGTTCTGTGAATTATGCATCTTGTTTTAATACACCTTAATTCTGTGGTTTTTGTATGTGTACAGGTTGCTTATAGTTAAAGCTGAGGGTGTTGTTTTCTACAGCTTATATTTTTTCAGAGTTAAACTAGGCAAGCAAGAATTCTTTCCTAGTGGGTGTCTGCCTCAGGCTGAATAATTTTTGGAAGTTTTTTTGCTGTTTAAGGGAATGAATTTAGGGCAAAATATATTTTGCTCATGTTAATAGCTTCTTAATTATTTTTTTTTAAATAGGGAAGCCATTCCTTTTGAAGAGAGACTTGACCTTTAGCAGAGTGGCTGTTCTGCTGTCAGGAACATGCCTTTTGCTATTTTTGTGAGAATTCATCAAAGCTTTGAGTGCCCCCCGCCCTTTTTTAAAAATCTCTTTACATCCTCACTAATGACAAAGAACACAAAGTTTAATAGCTCTGAAGATTCCCTGTAGCCTGTGTGATTTGTACCCCCTCAGAGCATTTCAGGGGTTAGTGTCCTGTTTGTGAGCTACCTCTAGAGAATGACTAAGTGAGCACCTACCTCAGGCCCTGAGTGTGATCAGGCTTTTCCCTGCAATTGCCTTCCTGAAGTCTTGGAGAGATGAGCTGAAAGTGTGGAGGCTGCCTGCCCTTTTTTGTTTTAATTCTGTCTTTTGTTGATCCAAGGAAAATATAAAAGGTAGACAAAGGGAGAAGACGCTACATTGGAATGAATATGCATTATAAGGGAGACTGTCTTTAAATAACTTGATGTGTACTCTTTCTTCTGAAGAACTGCTGCCTCCATTGTTACCCTTATATCCTAGTTTTAACCACAGGAAGAAGAACGCAGGGGTCTTAAGATGCAGAACAGTAGAGCAAGAACATGAGTTCAGTAAAGGCGAGGTGTGTAAAAACCTCAGGGGATGGGATTTAGGAGGAATATCTTGTGACCAGTAAGAGTCACTTTCTTTCAGATAAAAAGCAGTATAAAATCTTATAAAAAGAGTTCTCTCATGGTGCTAGGCACAGAGACAATCTGCGTGGCTCAGACAGCCAACCTTTCTGAGCACTTGACTTTGCAGGTTTTTGGTCTCCCTTCAGTATAGTTTTTGTTTACACAACATGTTGAGAAGACATTCTGAACACAAAATGAGTATCATCCAGCTTTACATCCAGATCATCCTAAAGTTCCCTGCTTTGAGCAAGTTTCATTAAACTTTGAGCATTTCTTCATATATAATATTATGAGATATAATTGACTGTGATATATCTGGAGATTCTTTGATGAAAGATGTTATATGTAGTTTAATGTGTAGTTATGTTGTGACAAGATGGTCTTTATCTTTTATTTTCAAAAGACACTAAAAATAAACATCTAATTTATTTATAAAATCCAACTGAGATTTAAAATTAAAGAAGTTATGAATTAAAGCCTAGAACTTAACTATATTTGCTTCTAAATTAGAGACAGATGCAAGGTGTATAAACTTAGAAGTTGAGAAGGGTAGAAGTATTTGCTGTGCCCATTGGACAGGTGGGATTATGAGATTTCTACTGATGCATGTTATCTAATTATAGTTGTGGCAGGTTATGACAAAACAGACTGTATCTTAATTATACTAGATTTACTGTAGATAGGTTTAAAATACATTTTTTCCTGTCACTATATTGATGAGGCTAGAATAGTATACAAAAATAGAATTTTATTATGTGGTGTGTATAAAATCCTATAGTGGTTTTTGAAAGCATCCCTCTGCTCCAGGGTTTTTTGAGGGGAGTTAGAGATTTTGGGTTTTGTAAGGTTTTTTTCAACTGCCAATTTTGAAATTTTTGGTAGGCATCACATAGCAGCAACAGTCCTCACAATCAGCTTCTGGCTACTAGTGATCTTTTTTTCCTTTCATTCCCATGGAAACAGGTCTAATTAGCACAAAATCGTTTCTAAAAATTAGTATTGTATTTTAAAATGGTGTCTTTACTGTCACTTACATAATAGCTACGTCCATGTAATGCAAAATCAAAGCACAGGTTTGTGTTACCTGTCTGGTCACTGGCTGCTGTTGTAGTTTCATTCTCAGGCAAAGGAGTATTGAAGTAGGTAGAATATTAAACTTTTTATTACTTACATGTTTTATTACTTTCAGTTTGGTAATTACTTGCTCTCCAAATATTAGATTTCAGGGTAATTATGCAATTAACTCATACAGTTTTGTATTTGCTCTAAAATACAAATGTATGTTCCCATTAACTTAGGGCTGATTGCACTACTTTTTATTGTTTGCCTAATTCTTATTAGGATAAGTTAAAATTTTTCATATTTTTTGACAACCATATTTTTAATAACTTGTTCAGCTTCCCAATTTTAAACATTTGAAGGGCATTGTCTGTATCAGATTTCAATCTTGAGCTGAGGTAATGCAGCCAAAACAATTCTGTCATTTTCTGACACTGAGACTAGAAAAGAGCATTGTTTTGCATGTGTTTAAAAATGCTCTGGTTAATCTTTTCTTGAGAAAATTCTGAAGCTACTCTGAGAAACTCCGGATGACATTCTACTTCGTTGAAAACCTTGTGGGAGGGTTTTTTGTTTGCAATCCTCACGAAAATCTGCTCAAATTTGGCCAAATTCTAAATATGTCAAAAATCCGTTATGCAGAAATTATCTAGAGCTTCACATTTAATTGTGATAAAGATGATGTTGGCACTTGGGGTGCTCCAGGTTGGGGCAGCAATTGCATTCCAGAGTTACGGATTGAGACAGAAGGGAATGATCTTTCTTGTGCTTCCTTTTCTTGCTCTGCTCGACCGAGCGAGAACAAACAGAAAACTGCAGGATGCTCATTCAGAGACGACAAAAAAAAAACGAGTCAAGAGGGTTTGGTATAAAAGAACGAGCATACTGTGGTAGAGTAGAAAGGAGCTGGAATAGATTGGGTTGGAATACTTCAGAGGAGAGTGTGTCTTGGGATAGCCTCTTAGCGTTTGTATACGAAGTGCCTTTTTATTTAAGTAGTGTGTATGACAGCTTTCAGTAGATGTGTTGTACTATGACAGAGTAACAGTAAAGCTGTATGTAGAGAGCAATAAAGCTAGTATTAAAGCAAATGACGACAGTAACAAGTAAAAATATGGACGCAACCAGTAGAATCGGGGAATGTCTCTTTGGTTTTACTGTTATTTTATCTTACTCTTCTTATGGATAGGACTGGAGATAAAACCCAATTGTTCAAGGACCTTACAGACTTCCCTGTCATCAGAAAAAGAAAGGAGGAGATCCTGGATGTACTTTCTAAAATCCAATTGCATCTGCTGGACATTCGTAAACAGATTAGGAATCCTTCTGCAGAATACGTTACAGTTTCTGGTCAAGAGGTAATATGGTATCTATTATGTATGACTGTACTCTTGCTTGTCTAGAAAATGGCTTACAAATTAGGCTTAACTAGAACTCTCTTCATTTAATGTGGTGCTTGATGAGGTCATTTGATTATAATCTTTTGTACAACTTTAAAGAACAGTTTTGTGACAGTGTCACTTTTTTATTTGTTAAGTCAATTACTTTAGTGATTTAAATAATAAAACCATATTAGTGCAGTTGAATTTGATTCAATGATGCTTTGCTTTTCTGTATACGTAAAAACATTTGCATACTTCCAAGGTTAATTATGTGGCTATTAAGTGCTGAAATATTCTCAGAGAACCAGGAAGCACAGCATTAGGTTTATTTGAAGAATGGTAAAATGATTTGTAAGTGCTGATTAAGACTGTAATTTGAAAGATGGAGAGAAGAGGAACAGTATTAAAGAATGATAAATGTTGTTTTACTTTTAATTCGTAGAAACGGTGCTTGCAGACTGCAGCTTTTGTTTGCTAGATGTTGTGCAAGTGTGGGCAAGCCATGCTCCAGCAAGCTGAAAAGTTCAGTGCAAAAAAATAGAGATGACAGATCCTGCTAGATTTGTGGGGGAACTGAAAGGAGCAGTGAGGTAGCACTGCTCAGCATTACCCTTTGGGAACTGAGAGTAGGAAGGCTGGGGAAAACTCCACAGAAAACTGGGAAAAGAAAGGAGTTAAACTGAATGAGTGTTGGGAGTGGAAGAGATGAATCAGTGAGGACAGGGAGGGAAGGAGCTGGAAAAAGCCCTGTCATATTGAGGACCTAGGGACCTGAGAAAGACTGAAGAGACACACAGGGAGCAGACAGGCGATGCTGAAAGTGAGACAGAATGAAAGAAGGGATGAGTAAGAGAGAGCAGCATTTAATAATGACCTCGGGAGGATATTTCTTTTGATGATGAGGTTGAGAAGGGGAAACATGTGACTGAAGAGTTGGGAAGGCTGTCAGCATGGATGCTGAAGTCCAAGGGAAGCACCGAAGAGTGTGTTTGAGTATTGTGTGAGGAAGGGAGGAGACAGGATTTGAAAGGTTTCTTTCAGAGAGGCTGGTTTAAGAGGTGATGATATGTTTGTGAAGGAAAGGGGAAGAAGAGAACTGATCAAAGAGAGGAGAGCATCTGAGGAAGTAGTCAGATATGAACTGGACAGAAGAGTTTCAGAAACCACCAGTCACTATGCATAAGTTTAAGAGAGGAGATGGCTCAGGAACCATTGCAGACAAAGAGCTCTATCTTGGTAAATTCATAAGGAGTTGCAGAGGTTATGGATATCTGTTAGTTAATTACATCTGGTATGAGTGTTTCAGAGACATCAAAAGAGGCAAAAGAAGAAGGGTTAGAGGAGATGGTCAGTGAGGAAATAAAAGACGCTAAAGGAATGGAAGTAATGGAAAGGGAATTGTATGGGAGGAGGAGAGCATAGGCATAACAAAAGTCTCTTTGAGTTGAGCTCTTTCTTCCTCAGATCTGTATGGTATAGTCGTCTTATGCCATTGTAGCACTCTGATAGATGTAGCACTCAAACATTTCTTTGCAACAGACCTGGGCAAAACAAGTTTATGGTTTGCTGCTTCTGGAAGACAGAGAAGCTGCCAGAAAACTTCTTCTATGTATGTCCCCACTCTGAACATCTGTCCAGGGAACAGGCTTTCTTGGGGAAAAAATGAAAAACCAAACAATTTGCTTCTCCGTGTGTGCCCCCAAACCCAGGATTATGAATACACGGTTAGATTTTCAGTCAGCCAGCAGTTTGTTAACTTACATTTAAGTTCCTTTTAGAGTTCTGATGAAGATCCAGTTGACATGTACCTTTTCCAAAATATGAGGTTACACCCGTATCTATCTTATCTTTTGTTTCCAGACCTCTAATGTAATTTGTAGTGTGCGCTAATCCGGACAGAAACCTGTCCAGATAGTGATAGCATTGCTATTTGTTTCAGGCAGGATTTAGAGAGAAAGTGCTACGTTTGGCAAATGTTTGCTTCCTGCATGGCATAAACAGTGCTTTGGGCCTGTTTATTTAATACTGCAATTGTTTATCTAATAGGGCTAAGAATTAAAGGATGAAAAAGCAAATGCTTTGTTCTTTTAAAGAAGACTGCAACCTCTCCACTTGTTTCTCGCTAGCCACACAAACAAACCAGGCAATTGATACGGCTGTGTTAATTTACACTGTTTTTAATTCAGTTAGTCATCCAGCATAGACACAAATGTGGTATTATTTTCTGTCTTCCTTTCATAAATACAGCATATTTAATTGTTTTGAGATGAAATTCAGAAAAAACTGTAATACCAGCACATCAGCAGCTCCACTGGTGGCAGCAGCAGTTGGCTCATTTTCAAATCTTTGCAGATCTCTGCTTCTACCCATTTTCATTCTTTTTGTCTCATGTATATTACGCAATTTCAGGATTTCGACAGTACCAAATATTTTCAAGATGTCCTAGGTAAATTAAGAACTAGCGCACTATGTCCTTGCTGGAGTCTTGTGCTCATGTTAGGATTATTATTCTTGTTTGTACATGAAGGTGATTGCTGGCTATTCTGGTGAGTTGTGGAGGGTTTTCTATGAATCATATACTACCTGTAATGGAAAAGCTTTGTCAGATGAGAGTCTTCTGGTTTTCCGTAAAGGTGATCGGATTCTGGAATAATCTAATCTCTGCTAGAAATATATTTTCCAGCTGAATTCGTTTATTTGAGAATGCCTCAATTCTTTGATGTCTAGGACCTCAGGCTAGTGTTATAAAGATAACCTATGTGAATTATATAAAATACTGCAATAAACACAGTGTGTAAATTTCACTGCACTGAGCATCATGTCATTACTGCTCCCTGTTCCTTCCCTTTCCGACCCCAAGGTGATCCAAACTTGAAGCAAGGCACTGTAGATACAGTGGTAGTGTTTGAGATGTTGAGCTCTTGTCTGTGAAATGTTGTAGGTACCTGTGGCTCAGTATAGACATTGATCCCTGGGCAGGAAGGCACATCTTGCTGATAAGGAGCAGTCTCCGTACAGGTGGTATATAGCGTAGAGTCCATGTAGATACTGAATTCTTTACAAGGCCCAGTCAGGATCAGGTAAGCAAGACTGACTTACAAGCTTTAGTCTGGTTTTGGCTTCATAAGAGGGAGGTGAGGAGCGCCTGTTAGTGGATGGAGGAACAGAAGAGCAAAGATGGGGCAGCAATATGGTAGGGCACAAGAACAGCTCAGGAGTTGCCCATAGACCAGCTCATAGGAGTTGCTCTTTGGCAGAGAATGTGTATGTCATAACCCTCACTTCTAGGGGAAAAAGCACTAGCTTCTGGTCTGCTCAGCCTCTTCAGGCTGAATGTGGTTTTCCTCTGATGCATGCAGATTTCTTGATATCTGGTGATTACGGTTCTGTAGTCTTTTTAACTTCCTATGATATGTAATATTACATTTTTGTTTATTTTAGTTTATGATAGAAGTCAAGAATTCCCATAAATCATCCGTGCCATCTGACTGGGTTATGGTTAGTAGGTATGTAAAATGTCTTTGAAGTTTTTTCTATTTTAACATATAAGGAAAAAAAAAAAAGTGGTATTTTGGTATTACGATTAATTACATATGCATTCTCATAGCGCCACGTGTTTGTGTTTTGGTTTTTTTTTTTTTAACTGAAAACCAACCAACCAAAATTGTTACGTTAATTTATTGCTATTTTAAGTTTTGCTTAAACGCAAACAAAACCCAACTGAAAATCTGGAGTTCTTAAAATCACAGAATCACAGAATGTTAGGGATTGGAAGGGACCTCAAAGGATCATCTAGTCCAATCCCCCTGCCGGAGCAGGACCATCTAGATGAGATCACACAAGAACGCGTCCAGGTGGGCTTTGAACATCTCCGGAGAAGGAGCCTCCACAACCTCTCAAATGTTTGGTTTTACATGGTAGTTCCTTAGTGCACTGTATTACTTGCTTAATCTTTCAAAGTATACGTACCAGTGTCAATACTATGGTCTCGATTCAGTTGAACCTGTAGTTTGTAGATACAAATCTTCAGAAAATTTTGATTTTTCTTATTTTATTCAGAAGGGTAAAGGTACCTGTGCAAATATCTGTTTGTGCATCTCAATAAACTCAGTGTATTTAAATGTCATTTTACTTACTCATACAGACAAGCTTTGCTTGCTTCAGTATTTAGTGTTATGTAAACATAATTTTAGATAGTTTTGGATACTTTTTCCAGTAGGTGAAACAGAGATGTACTGAATTATGGTTTTGGCTTTTCTTTTTTTCAGTTGTTTGTTTTGTTATTTAAGCAGTTTGAATACCTTATGTTATTATTACGTGTAAGCACAGACATCTCGCACCAGAAATAGGTGTTATTGAGGTGAATTCTGAAGTGATGTTCTATTCACTTATGCAAGAATTCTGTACTAAAATTGCACAGATTAGACAGAATTAACATGATGAAGAATAAATTGCATTTAATCTGGAATTTGTAAAAAGAATGCCTGTGAATGACGAAGTGAGTCCTTCATGAAAATACATAAGTAAGTTGCAAGTGCTCCAAATGGAAACTGGTATCCATGCAAAACAGTCTGTATTTACTAAGTTTATTTGAGGCTTGTCATGAAATTTTCCTTTTTAAATTGAAGTTTTTTCTTGGAGTCCATAGTATATGCAATTAGTTGCAGGAAAGTCATCCATTTGTGCAGTGTATTGCTGAACAGAATTTCGTGAAATAGATAAACTTCAGTGATAAATGCTACATTATGAAAAACATTTTAAAAGCCTTCTGAATGGGCAGTGGTGCAGTAACCAATCACTGTATTCACAATAAAGACCATTAGAATGAATAGAGTTTGGTGCCACAATAAAAGAAGATTTTTTTAAGCATCCATTTTCAAGGCTCACAGACAGTATGAAAACTAGACCAATTTTGCATGTAGATGATGTAACTGATTGCTTAGTAACCTTGATTTCCTATTTTGCTTTTCTCTCTCTTCCAGCACAAAAGCTGTCAGCCGTTTCCACTCTCCTTTTATTATAGAAAATTACAGACATCTGAATCGGCTCCGGGAGCAACTAGTCCTTGACTGCAGTGCTGAATGGCTAAATTTTTTAGAGTGAGTTTACAACATAGTCAGGTTTCATCACTGTATTTTATTTTATTTTATTTTATTTTTGCTGTAAGAACAGAAAAAGATGTTTATTTAAAAGAAGTTGATAATTCAATTATGTTGCCCACAACAACTTCAAAGATAGTCAATTAGAATGCTGTTCTTCACTTTAAAGCATTTGAAGGCAAGACCTTTGCAGATTAAGTCCTGAGACCAGCAGTGATGTCTCTAGATCTTAAAATTTTAATGAAAATACACTATTATTAAAGTGGCTCTCAAAATTTGAGAACTAGTATCACAACATTATGAACCTGAAAGTACAACTGACTGTGAGTGAAACTGAATCTAATAGTTTTATTATTGAAGTACAATGTAAGTGAGATGAAAAAAGAATTTGTTATACAAGCTAATCAAATTCACTTTTACTGTTAGTTAAAATAGAATATGGCTTTACTGTTAAGTGTGCTGTTACTGAAAAAAATAATAATTAATTAAGAACAGTAGCAATGTTACAGTTTTTGAATTAGGAACGTTCAGGGTGTTTGGACAGGCACTTGGGTGAGTGTGATCTCCATAGCCCTATATTTTTCACACTGGCCCCGCAACTGACTGTGTCTCTATTTGCTTGAACGTAATGGAAGTGTTGTCCCTCACAACTGGCTTGGAAGATCTGTTTGTCTCAGATCAGAGTTTTGAATGAAGTTATTTGTCTGTTTAGCCAAAGGATCTTCAAAATGAGAGGTTAAAACTGATTTCTCAAACTGTTGAATACCTTTGGTTTTTCAGATGTCTGGTCATCAATTTTTTTTTTTTTTTTTTTTCACTTCCTTGACTTCTAGACCCACTGACATTTTTCCTTATGTCATGCAATGATAATAGACTCACTTTCAGATGCACTTTTTTCCTTGCTGAAAAAATTTAACAAGTTCCCTCTGATGTTATCTTGGTGGACATAACTGATACCAAGGTTTGCCTTCTAGCAGGGACCCAGCAGTTCTGTAAATTTGATAGTGACTAGAAAAACATTCCAGTTCACTCTTCTCCAGGTGTTTTGCCTTTGCAGTACTATAAAAATAGTTCTGTTAAATAATTTTCATCACTACATTAGCCATGTAAGTTTGAGCAGACCTATTTTAACCTTTCTTCACTTAGATCTGCATCTTTTTTTGTTCTCTTTGGTGTTTTCAATAGTGTTGTACGAGAGCAGCATACAACAGGGAAGTCCTGTGTGTAGGAGGGTACTCTACTTCCTCACCCCCGCATTTTTTAAATTTATTTATTAAATTTTGTTCCCCTACTGGTTTTATATTCTATGTTATATCTTCAAGACTAGGAAAGGAAAAAGAGAAATTCTTGAGGACTAAGAGAACAAACTCTACTGAAAACTGTGTTCTCACGATAATGTCATTATTGTACTGAGGGAAGCAATACCATAAATGGAAAAGCACTTCTTGAATTTTCTGTTATAGTAACGATATTTTATTGAAATTGTAACATGTTCAGGCACTTTTATTATATTTTTTTTTGACCATAACTTCTGGTGGAAGTGAATTGGCAATTGGGATTCAGTTGCCACTGTGATAAACAGTGGCATTTTTAGAGACCTCATTTAGTCAGCAAGGATCAACTGCAGACCCTTTATATGCTATTTAATTAATTTCATTTTTCCTGTTTTTTTTTGTGTTTAAAAATAATTCACTGTTACAATGGGAGCATGAAGTCTGTCTTGATTAAGATTGTGTCCTCATGTTATAACTTGATACACTGCTGAGAGATTTGAATTCAGAATAATTTAAAGACTGTAGGAGCCCTGTGAGAAGCACACATGAGGTATATTTTGGCAGTACGTTTGTATCTATATGAAATTACATTTTTTCCTGTTTTCTTCCTCCTGTTATTTTTCCCTGTTTTGGTATAGCCATTTTAGTGAGCACTATCACCCTGTGTCTAAAGCGATTGGTCACCTAGCAACTATCGACTGTCTGTTCTCATTGGCCCAGGTGGCTAAACAAGGAGACTACTGCAGGTAATCAATTTTTAATTTTTATTTAGGATTTTATAGTAAATTATAAGAGAATATTTAAAATAAATTTGATATTAGTATGTGTACTACGATAAAATGCATTATTAAAATTGTTTACAGTAGTTTCCACTTAATCTGATTTTGTGAAACAACACTTCTAGGCTTAATGCAAATCTTTAAACATTGCGGTTCACATTTAACATCTTATGTTTGTCTGTCTGTTGTTTGACCTGAGTCTAGTAGATGATATCTCACATATATATAAATATGTTGGACTTCACATGGAAATTTTTTTCCTCCTATTTTTTTTTTCTCAGCAAAGTGTGAGTTTATAATGTGTTTCTAATGTCTAAGATTATAAGTTGTATGAGGTATGTTTCAAAGAAGTATTTCAGGTAAATAATAGGTAAATATTAGTGCCAGCTTCCAGAGCAACTGCCTCACCTAGAATCATGTGTTAGATCTGGAGAGCTGTGCACCTCCCTCTGCCCAACATCCACGCATGCACACTGGCCACTGCAGCCTGGAACTCTGTTGGTCTTGAGGCTGTCCCTGTGCTCTGTGCAGTGGGTCGACATAAACCTTCAAGTCCTGCTTCCCCAGAGCTTGGTAGAGAGCTGGCTCTTGAGCGTGGGCACCCTGCAACTCCGGTCTTCCTCCCTGTCACAAGCCCACATCTTTTGCACCCACGCAGAGAAAGTTAGTCTCACTGGGGTACCTTTTTCCGTATCATGAGGTCTCTGTCCCCAGAGACACTGAACAATCACTAAGCCACTGCTTCAGCTTGCCCAGTGCTTTCCTACAGGCCAGCACTTAGTGTTTCTGAGGTTTACTGCAGACACTCCTGCAAGGGCTGTCGGGTTCCAGACCTCAGCCATTCCCTCTGCCAGAGAATCCACGTACTCTCTTTTCAAAAGTGCAATATGTAACACTTAAATGTTGTCCTTGTGGGGCTGTGCTCCAAGTGCTTGGAAAACTGCTTAGGAACAGTGGTATGAATTAGTTACATTTGAGACCTGTGGAAATACAGCGAATCAGGTATTAAATGGATGTGGATGAAGGGAAATCAACTGACATATGTTTCTGCTTTTATACAGCATTAAAGATAATATTGATTACTGCTGGACTCTTGGGATCTTGTGTGCCTCTATCAAAATCTCTTTGAGAGTAATTGCTCACTTACTTCTGTATACTCAGATGAGAAAACAAACTGAAGTCTCATTCTGATTCACTGTGCGGAGTTTAAAAAATTCACTGAATTTTGAAGAGTGGCTTACAGCTTATAAACTGGCAGGAAGGAGACTTTCAGTGAAAATTCAGCTGCAGGGAAGGTGTCAATAATTAACTTTTGAGGGCTACTAAAGGAAAGATGGGACTTTGATATTAACTAATTTAAGTATTTCAGAGGAGTGTTTTTTAAGTGAGATTTGTTTCATATCATCCTACTTGAGTGATGTAAATGAGTTGTGAAGTCAGGAGCACAGGTGTTCTGCACAGTTGTTGGAGAGAGGTAAGCGCCTCTTACAGTTTTGAGCTGTCTGAGGACCCCTGTGTTGGGAGACTCGTCCTTTACACAGACAATGCACAACATCGGGGCTCTCAAGCTGCAAAGTTAAATACCTAAAGATGATGGTGTAGATAGCCCAGAGATCATCTGATATGAGAATATCCACTCTGCAGACAGTGAATTTCTTTAGCTTTAAGGAAGGCTATTGAAAGGTAGTACACAACTAAAGGACATGTTATGCATTCCAGAGCCATTTATGTGTTTTTGTTTGTTTTTTTTTTTACCCCCTCCTGCTAGCGAAGAGTGAAATTTCCTTTCTTTGTCCTCAAGGCCTAAGACTCTGTCTTATATATGACTCTGTCATCTCAGCTATACAACTGCTGGAAGTATCTTTATGCTAAAAAACCCACACCACTATCAGCTTGCATCTCTTTCCTCCATGCTTTGTGTTGCTAATATGCCTCCATTTTCCTTTCAAATTGCATCATCATTCTTCAAGAAATGAAGAGAAAAATCATATTCCCCATCTTGTCTTCTCTCTAAAGTCCACTGAAAGTGCTAGTTAATTTCTAGTAAAAAAATTACATGGCTTTTTTTCCAGTATTCTCTTTTTCTCAGCTGCTACCACTTTTCTAAGTTACTGCTCTTATTTCAGAATGATTGTACTTACAGTGTAGGAAAATGTTGCTGAGACATGAAGCCACATTTACTCTCCATTGAATGCTACACGTCATTTTACAATGAAAAAGTAAACCTAGGTTGCTGAGAACAAAAATAAATCATAGTCATAATTTAATGGAACTCGCTTCTTTTGCATTTTTTCTTCTGTGAAGAGCACGCAACTCTTGGAAGTGGAGCTTTTCAGAAATGGAGATATTTAATGTAGAATTATACATGTTATATTAGTAGACATGTAGACAAATTTGTAGCTAAGGTGGAAGCATTTGAGACAAAACTTCTTTTTACGTGGTTTGGAGATGAGAAAAAAAGTAGTATCGATCTGTTTTGCATATTAATTTCTAAAAAGGTACTGTTATTTAAACAGTTTCAGCTTAAATATTAAGCTCTTTCTCTAGAGAGTTATTGTTTGATTCTTGTACGTGTTTGAGAGTTGCTGTCAGATTATGAGAGCTGCTAATGTTTATAGGAGAGTTACAGCTCTGTCATACTGTAGTATTTAATTTGTATCATTTAATGTGTTATCAATCATAGTATACATAGTTGGACTATTTTCTTTACTCCCCATACTCTTATTAGGACTTAATGCAGTAACAGGCTGGACCAGTCAATCAGCAAGATAGTTCTGAAAATATGATTTATATCTGCAAAAGATGGCGCTTTGCAGAAGTTGGCGCAGTGCTGGGAAGAAAGCAAAGTGACCTCCAGTTTGGGGGTTTTGCTGTTGCTTGTTCATTTTGTAATTCTTGATAGTTTTTTAGAATACACATAAATGACTGAAAACATTCCCTAGGTAATGAAAAAAATGAAGAAAGTACTCTAAAATTTCTTTATCTATTCTGCTGTTATATTTTTATAACTGAATGAAATGAGGGAAGTCTTAAAAAGAAAGGAAGAAAATGAAGGAACTCTTTGTACTCGGCACTGGTGAGGCCGCACCTGGAATATTGTGTCCAGTTTTGGGCCCCTCGCTTTAAGAGAGATATTGAGCTCCTGGAGCGAGTCCAAAGAAGGGCGACTAAACTGCTCAAGGGGCTGGAAAATAAAACTTATGAGGAGCGGCTGAGGGAGTTGGGACTGTTTAGCCTGGAGAAGAGGAGGCTGAGGGGAGACCTGATTACGGCCTACAAGTACTTGAGAAGGGATGGTGGGGAGGTGGGGGAAGGGCTCTTTACATTAGTGGTGGGTGATAGGACAAGAGGAAATGGGTATAAGCTTAGTCAGGGGAGGTTCAGGTTGGATGTTAGAAAGAATTTCTTCTCTGAAAGGGTTGTCAGCCACTGGAATAGGCTGCCCAGGGAGGTGGTTGAGTCCCCATCCCTGGATGTGTTTAAGAAAAGGGTGGATGTACTGGTTAGGGATATGGCTTAATGGGGGACTAGGGACGGTTGGACTGGATGATCTCTAAGGTCTTTTCCAACCTAGAAATCTATGAAATCTATGAAATGTTTGATAGCAATAATTCCTTTTTGTCATTTGTATTTTTTTCACAAAAAATGCATCACAGATGACTCTCCTGCAGGCTTTAGTTACAGTAGTTCTAAATAACCAGTTATGATAAACATTGAAATTAATATCTCTTCCTTTTTACAGACCAACTGTGCAAGATAATCGGCGAGAAATAGTTATAAAAAATGGGAGGCACCCTGTGATTGATGTACTGCTGGGAGAACAGGATCAGTACGTTCCAAATACCACTAACCTCTCAGTAAGTACTGAGATACTCTTTGAGCTTCAAAATCATTCAAGGAGGAATTCAAAAGGAATCTGGGATATGCTTCTTGGCCAGGAAGTTAAAATGAATAATTTAATTGTACAACTATCTACTTGGTTGCATTTCAGAGAGATACTGCTAGGCATGATTACATCTGTTTTGTCCTTTTTTTGATATCTTTAAGACAGACATTCTCTTTGCAACCCTGTTCAGACCTAATGGCATAAAGAAAAGAAAGATGATCTCAAAATTAGGAAAATGAAAGTTTTAAATGGTTATTTTTGAAAAACAAATTAATAATTACAGGGTTTTTAACAGCATCATCAGAAGGAATTTGCATTTTGTCATAATTTTATCTCAAATTTGTGGAGTTTTTTAAAATACAAAATAGCAATAACTTAGGTTTCTGTGTAACGTCACAAGTTCAATTTTTCAAATTAATTCTACGATAGCTCAGATTTATTTTTTTTTAGGTATTTTTCTACTACGCGTTTTCCTTTCTTTCTGGAAGTATTATTTCATACAGCCTTTGTTAATCTGACAGTCCAGACTTGGAATTCTGACTCTTGACTTTGTAGTATCAAGTACACACTCTGTAGCTGCACATTTAAAAAGCCTTTCATATTAACATATGATAAAGATCCCACATGTGTAGCTTGCAGGCTGTATGTTACCCATAAGTCTCCCTCTGGCTGTGGTTTGCACAACAGGGAAGGATATTGAAAAGTACTATGACTGTTACTTGCTTGATATTGTTGTCAATAGGTCAAAGAAAGTGGGGGGGGCTACTTCTTAATATTTTCTATGCAATATTACCTAAATTATATGACCTAAATTACCTAAAATTGCTATAAATATCCAACTACCATAGTTAGGAAACATTGCTGTGTTTTATTTCACATCTGTTTCTGATAAGCATGTTTTAGTTTATTTCTTTCTTCCTTTTCCTGAAAAACTAGAATCAGTCTTTTAAATTACATGTCCGTTTGACATTTTTTTGTTAAATATTACCTCTCTGTCTTTTGAAATACTACGTTTCTGTTCTTAATGAACATAAAAAATATGTGTGCAACTTAATTCTAATTATATATCTGCCTTTTTGAACAGTAAACATAGAAAAGGTATGAAACATACCAGTGTGGAACACTGCTGTGAAAAACACCATTCAAGTGTGCATGTATTTCTCTGGAAATATTTTTAAATGCTGTTCTATACTGAACAATGGTACAGATATTGTGCAGTACTTCAGGGAATGTTTTCAAAATTATTTGTCAACTCCAAACAAGTGACAGATGGCATTTATGAAAAAATCAACATTTCATTCAGTAATCATCATGCGCTTTCCCCTGTTAGTCCCATTCTTATGTTGGCTTTCTAAATGCTGAATGTTACAAAATCAAATGATCATGGTAGAATTGCTCTTGCCTCTACTGTTGGTTTCAGTTCTCTCTTTTTTGAGAGAGGTGGGTGGGAGCCCAATTTATTAAAATGCCTCTAGTTTTAAACTGATGTGTTTGAATCAGCAGGAAAATGCATCTGCTGTCATGTTTTCAGCTGAAATCTTGTCAAATATCTAACTTTAGGAAAAGCTTTCTTGCAGTGCCCTGAAATAAACATTTTATTTTTCTGTTCCCCCTCTCCTCCCCAAATATTGATGGATTCTTTTAGTACTTCAACTGATAAACTTCAGCCTCAAATTTCAGTAAGACGTTACCTTATGGTTGTGCGCAATTGTAAGGGCAGATGGGTTCTCTGGTCTGGTGTTACAGCATATGTTCTTTCTGAAAGCTGGCTTTGCAAACCAGCCACCGGTCTCACAACATGGTTGGGGCGACCCTGGAGGGATACCAAACACATGCAAGAAACTTGTAGATTTTAACAGATGAACTCATTCTGGTTTTAAGTATCTATAAATTCTGTTGTGTTGAGCCAAATGCTGGCCCTGGTGAAGTTTTAGTAGCAGTATTGAAATTACACCTTGGAGACTAGAATGTTAGGAATTTTGTTCCCATGTAGTCATTTTATTACATCCATCCTTTATTCCTGATAATGGCATTTTCTGGGGTTTGACTTTATTGCGACTTCCTTATGGATGGCGTTTTCTTAGCCAAAGCTAACCAGCTTTTCACGTGTAATAAATACTTATTGCATGTATCTTCTGTATGATCTGGATTATGATATAAAAGTGATAGTCCTATGTGGACTTTATTTGCCTCCCTATAAACAGAATGAAAGCCCGATCAAAAACCAAATCTGTAAAGATAGTGAGGCTTATTCTGTGGAGATTTCTTTTTTCTTTTTCTTTTTGTTGTCACAATACCTGATCAGTTCCAAGTTTTCTAAGTAGTGTGGCTAATGCTCATTATGCACAGCTTGTCCTTTCTTGTGTGCTTCTCTCATGGGACAGTGGAGTATGCTGATTTTTGGTTAGTTCATCAATTGTTGGTTTTCATCTAGTTGTCTAAACTCCTTGCATAACTTAATTTCCTAGTCTTGATTCAGGCTGTGAGAAAGCTTTATAGATTCATTGATGGGTTTTAATTTTGCATTAGCAATTGTCTTGCCCCAGAGGAAGACAGTTTTATTCTGGAGCCATAGACACGTAGCAATACTGTAGGGAGTCTTACAGCTGAGACAAATTCTTGCGTCTGATTTCATTTTCTGTAGGATTTCAGTGTTTAGATACACTGATCAATCAGAGATTGGATACAGTCCGCTCACAATATCTGTGTTGCATTTAAGTATTGCCAAACCCAGCATTGTCTTGATTTCCTGTTGTAACCAGTCTGTTTGAATACGTGTCTGTTGTACAAGGCAAGTGATAATAAATGGGCGTAAAATCTAGGTCCAGTCTTTTTCTGACAGATCTTCTTCCTGTTTGGCGAAGAGAACTCTGAAATGGAGAGGGATCCAGATCACAACCAAGTTAAGATAGCACTGGCTATGCTGGGAGCTCATGAGCTTCTCCTTTACTCTGAAGAAAATTGCACAGAAAGTTCTTGGAGTGCTTTTTTGGCTCCTTGGTGGAGAAAGGGAAGGTTCCTCCTCACTTTGTACATTTTGCTCAAGTGTAAAGAAAGTTGGTTGCATTGCTTCTCTCTCACCTGCTTGGAGAGGTCTTAGGAAAATTTATCCATCTGAAACTTCATAATATCTTGAAAAGTGAATGCGATGAACTCCAAGAACGAAGCAAGCTGTTCACCTAGAAACAGAACGTTTAAACCTGGGGACTTGTCCTTTATCCCTCTAAGCACATACACACACCAGACTTTCTTACAAAAGTGCTGTGTGCAGGATGATGTATTTGACCACTGTTTTATGTTTCCAGGGAGATGGTGAAAGGGTCATGATAATAACTGGACCCAACATGGGAGGAAAGAGTTCCTACATAAAGCAAGTTGCATTGATCACAGTTATGGCACAGATTGGTTCTTACGTTCCTGCAGAAGAGTCGACAATTGGTGTTGTGGATGGTATTTTTACCAGGTAATCTTTCAAAACTTGCTTTATGTTTATGAGTGGCGGGGGGGGTGTGTGTATCAAAGGATAATTTCGTTTTTCATTTAGAACTTTAGAATTTATTCTTGAAGTTTCCTTTTTCATTTCAAATACATGCATTGGTTGTTAGGTTTTGATTCTGATTTTCTGCTAAGCTGTGGTACTTGTTTTGGACTCTTTAAGGGATAAGAATGTGAATGTGTCTGTCTTGATTGAGATGCAGATACCTAACTTCATCTGCCTGAATGGACATCTCAGCCCATCTCAGTCAGTACACAGTATTGTGTACTCACAATATTTGAGACTGAGAATTTGGGGCTGCGTATATTCTATGCTATGCTTACTGTCCTTCCTGTACTGTCAGTCTTGAACACACTTTACTTCATGTCTTTTAAAGAAAGAATAATGCCAGTTCATTTCTCTTGATCTCGTTTTTAAGGTAGTGCTGAGTAATTTATAAAGATCATAGGATTATAGAATGGTTAGGGTTGGAAGACACCTTAAAGACCATCTAGTTCCGAACTCCGTGCCATGGGAAGTGACACTTTCCACTACATCGGATTGCTCAAAGCCTCGTCCAACCTGACTTGAACACTTCCAGGGATGAGGCATCCACAACTGCTCTGGGCAACCTGTTCCAGTGCCTCACCACTCTGAGTGAAAAATTTCTTCCTTATATCTAATTGAAATCTGCCCTCTTTCAATTTAAAGCCATTGACCCTTGTCCTATCTCTACATGCCCTTGTAAAGAGTCCCTCTCCAGCTTTCCTGTAGTTTCGATGGAGACCAACAGTAGACTATCATGGCTTGAATGAAGTTACACCACCATTGAGTGCTGCTGTGCCAAACTACACTGGAACAGGGTAAAGCTCCAGAACCCCTTTACATCAACCCATGACACCCCTTTAAGTACTGGAAGGCTGCAATAAGATCACCCCGGACCCTTCGCTTCTCCAAGCTGAACAACCCCAACTCTCTCAGTCTGTCTTCATAGCAGTGGTGCTCCAGCCCTGATTATGACTACTGTCAAAACTTTTGTATTTTACAGTCTTATATTACTGAAGATTAGGCAGCTGTTTTTTCCCCTTTTTCTTTAGTCTGTTTTTTAATTGGCAAAAGTTCTGTGTTGTTGATGGCATTTGAGATGGGTATTTATGGTTGTAAGTTTCACAACAATCATGTATCTGTGCTTGAAATATCTTTCCTGAAATTCTAGTTCTGTGATGGCATTGGGTCCTGATGAGGTGCATCTGCAGGTCTTGAGGGAACTGGCAGATGAAGTTGCTAAGCCACTATCCATCATATTTGAGAAGTCGTGACAGTCTGGTGAAGTTCCCAATGACTGGAAAAGGGGAAACATAGCCCCCATCTTTAAAAAGGGAAAAAAAAGAAGACCCAGGGAACTACAGGCCAGTCAGTCTCACCCCTGTGCCTGGCAAGATCATGGAGCAGATCCTACTGGCGAATATGCTAAGGCACATAGAAAACAAGGAGGTGATTGGTGACAGCCAACATGGCTTCACTAAGGGCAAATCCTGCCTGACTAATTTGGTGGCCTTCTACGATGAGGTTACAGCATTGATGGATAGAGGAAGAGCAATTGACATTGTCTACCTGGACTTATTCAAAGCATTTGATACTGTCCTACATGACATCCTTATCTCTATATGCTAAGGCACATAGAAAACAAGGAGGTGATTGGTGACAGCCAACATGGCTTCACTAAGGGCAAATCCTGCCTGACTAATTTGGTGGCCTTCTACGATGAGGTTACAGCATTGATGGATAGAGGAAGAGCAATTGACATTGTCTACCTGGACTTATTCAAAGCATTTGATACTGTCCTACATGACATCCTTATCTCTAAACTGGAAAGACATGGTTTTGATGGATGGACCACTCGGTGGGTAAGGAATTGACTGGATGGTTGCACTGAAAGAGTTGGTCAACGGTTCAAAGTCCAAGTGGACACCAGTGACGAGTGGTGTTCCTCAGGGGCCAGTACTGGGGCCAGTGCTATTTAACATCTTTGTTGGAGACATGGACAGTGGGATTGAGTGCACCCTCAGCAAATTTGCAGATGACACCAAGTTGTGTGGTGTTGTGGACACGCTGGAGGGAAGGGATGCCATCCAGAGGGACCTTGACAGGCTGGAGGGGTGGGCGTGGGCCAACCTCATGAAGTTCAACAAGGCCAAGTGCAAGGTCCTGCACGTGGGTTGGGGCAATCTCAAGCACAATACAGGCTGAGTGGAGAATGGATTGAGAGCAGCCCTAAGGACTTGGGAGTGCTGGTGGATGAGAAGCTCAACATAAGCCAGCAATGTGTGCTGGCAGCCCAGAAAGCCAACCATATCCTGGGCTGCATCAAAAGGAGCGTGGGCAACAGGTCGAGGGAAGTGATTCTGCCCCTCCAGTCTGTTCTCATGAGACCCCACCTGGAATACTGTGTTCAGCTCTGGGGTCTCCAACACAAGAAGGACATGGAGCTGCTGGAGCTGGTCCAGAGGAGGGCCACCAAGATGATCCGAGGGCTGGAGCACCTCTGCTATGAAGACAGGCTGAGAGAGTTGGGGCTGTTCCGCCTGGAGAAGAGAAGGTTCCGGGGTGATCTTATTGCAGCCTTTCAGTACTTAAAGGAGGCCTACAGGAAAGCTGGAGAGGGACTTTTTCCAAGGGTGTGTAGTGATAGGACAATGGACAATGGCTTTAAACTGAAAGAAGGCAGATTCAGATTAGATATAAGGAAAAAAATTTTCACTCGGTGTGGTGAGGCACTGGAACAGGTTGCCCAGAGAAGTTGTGGATGCCTCATCCCTGGAAATGTTCAAGGTCAGGTTGGATGAGGCTTTGAGCGATCCGGTGTAGTGGAAAGTGTCCCTTGCCATGGCGGGGGGTTTGGAACTAGATGGTCTTTAAGGTCTCTTCCAACCCTAATCATTCTATAATCCTATGATCTTTAAAAATTACTCAGCACTACCTTAAAGACAAGATCAAGAGAAATGAACTCTTGAGTGGTGAGGCACTTGAACAGGTTGCCCAGAGCAGTTGTAGAAGCCCCATCCCTGGAAGTGTTCAAGGCCAGATTGGATGAGGCTTTGGGCAACCTGGTGTAGTGGAGGATTTCCCTGCCCATGGCAGGGGTTTGGAACTAGATGATCTTGGAGGTCCCTTCCAACCCTAACCATTCTATGATTCTGTGATTTCAGAGTTAACTTTTAACAAAGAATCTGAAATATTTGTAATATCTTTCCAAATTTAATTTGAGCTGAAAATTCAAATTGGTTAACTTTTTTCTCTACCCTGTGTTGAAAGTAATTGACTGATTGATTGGATGAGCATTTTCTGAGGGGACATGGAGATACATAAGATCTGATTTACTTTACAGAAAAAACTTTACAACGATAGTAACGATTTGAAGATTATTTTTGTCTTCCTTTGTGTTTTGTAGGTGAACTTAGAGTACTTAACTGATGTTCACACTGAGTTAGTTTGTTACCATATGCACATAAGTCTGTTACTCTTAAGCTTAGTATTCCCTTTGCTCTACTTTTATTTGACTGTTATTTGACTGCAACAGGATTATTTCTGCATAAAGATTAATAAATGTGAACCAGTCACTTGGAGTGCCATTTTGTTTAGTGCTCACTAGAAACTAATTGGATTTTGTCCTCTACAGTGTGAAAACCTTGAAATGCAGATATCTGAGTTCCACCTGTTCCCCTGTGTTCTTCTGTGATTCTACTTAGCTTTTCTCTACATTATAGCTAATTTTCATATCTGTTCTGAGAAGGTAGTATGGTTGAAGGTAAAACTTACGCTTTAGATGTGAAGCCAGGCGGACCTAGAGTGTGTTACTTACTGGTTGTGAGGTTTCAGACCATTTAATTTGGAGCCCAGTCAGATTCTAGCGAAGGGGATTGATTTTTCTTCACTCCCCCTGCTTCTAAATTAGCTTTGGAAGCTCAGATGGATATACCCTTCTTCGTTAATGTGAAATATGTCAAACACCAGATGAATATACTAAGGAATTACTTATTTTCTTGTCATTGCAGTGGTAATTAAGAGTAAACTAATTGGCTTAATATTAAGAAGAAACTGAAGATATGTTATTGAGCTAGAAATAGTCATGTGTTAGTTAACTTTTTTGCTTCCTCTTAACCTTTTATGTATTGCATTTCTTCAGAAATCCAGGATAGTCACTTCAATTTGTAAAAGATTGTCAGTGGAACTCCTTGACTGTGCATCTGTTTAAACTTCTCTCTTCTATATAATGTAATTTGATGGAATCAATTGTACTGTTGGGATAGGCACTATTCATTTGTGATGTACTGACAGGATGTTACATCTTGACTCAGTTGTAGCTTCCCTTCCCATACAAAAGTCTAGGAGAATACTTGCGTCGTGGTTTTGCTTCAGCCTGTGGAGTATGGAGGCATTCCTTGCTCTACATATCCAAAAAATGACAACCATGCTCCCCAAGTAGGTGAATTGTCAGTGCACTTTTCTCTCCTGCTGTATTTGATTGTTAGTAGACACGAAGTGGCCTTTAGTGCCCAGCCTGGTCTTTGCTTAAGTCTTGCTTTATTCTCACCTTCTCAAAATCTTAAACTTCACTCTCTGCAACGATAACAGGAGCAATTTACCAGATTCTGCAGCTCAGAGGCTCAAGGTGTAGAGAGACTGTTCAGGGAGTAGATACCTCTGGTTTGGTTCATTTGGGTTTTTTTGGTTTGGGTATTGTTTCGGTTGTTTTTTGATTTTTTTTTTTTTTTTTTTTTTTTTTTTAGGGTTCTGGGAACCTTGAAAGTCATAAAGTATCTAAGACTGTCGGGCCAGGTTAATGTCGTATTATAGTCCAGGTATTTCTTAGCTCTGGAAGTTATCCTTATAATAGTTTTTAATGCCTGACTGGAGAAACAATAAAGTCAGCTGCCCTATGTTATGTCCTACATTATTTCTTTAATGCTCTGTCTGGCTGAATGTGT